TGCTACTCGCTCCCAGCAACTTCTAGATATAGTATCTGAACTGCGGGCCAAGGGTTGGAGCTTTTGAATAAGGGGACTCTGTGGTGAGTGGCTTGTGGGTGTGACTCGCGGTACAGCCCGCAGCTGGTCCGCGCCGAGGCCTTTCTGGCAGATCCAGCCTGGTGTGGTATCCTTCAATGCGGCCATCTCCGCATGTGCTGTCGGCTCCGAGTGGGAAAGGGCTCTCCAGTTGTTGAGGGCGCTGCCACAGACGCTCGGATTGCGAAGTGATTCGGAGTTAGGACGAGCAAGCTGGGAGGGTAGTCAGTGCAAGAATCACCAAGCGACCAAGTTTGTTTTGTGGGTAACGTGCTTCGTTTCTCCAGACACATGTTTCCAAAGAAGGCTGCCTATTTGGCTGTGGTTTGTGGCTGGGCTTTCGCTAAGGTTGCGGCTGGCGGGAAATGTGGTCACAGCCACTGCTGCGATCAGCGCATGTGCCACAGCACTTGCCTGGCGGGCAGCCTTGGTGATCTTGAGGAAGCTTTCATCAGGAATGAGACCATCTGTGACGCTTGGATATGAAGTTTCAAGGCCCATGGCCCATGATCTAGTCCAGTAGGGAACTGAACACCGTTCTTCAAAGGTTCTCCCCAATGTTAATTTGGAGAATAGATTGAGATTAGTGAGGAACTTAAATGTTTTCGTTGAGGTTCCTCGGTTCCCTCCAGTGTTGCAAACACTGGGACATACATTCGGATCCCTCCATGTCACCGGACCTGTCAGACAGCGTGTGTCTTGACTGGTCAGGATGACTTATAACACTTTGATCTCCGCCATGGGTGCCCACTGGGAACGTGCCATCGATCTGTTCCTTGCCAAAGTGACCGGTGAAGGGATCTCCCTGCGACTGGTCGGTGTCAGGCATTTTTTCAAATGTGTCTCGCACGTGGTTCATGATCTGGGCGACCAATTTTCAAGTTGTTTCATGTGTTCCTTACAAATCGTCACGCCGGGCTGATAGTTTTAGTGCAGCTATTGGTAATGCTTTGGTTGATTGTAGGTTGCACAGAATGTCCGGAGTTATCGGCCTTCAATCGTTGAGGCTTTGGCAGATGAGGAGTTTGGGGGTCCAGCCAGACATCGTCTCATGCAATGCAGTCATCACTGCCTGTGATCGTGCTGGAGTTTGGCAAGCTGCTCTCTCGGCAGCTCATGGATATGCCATGTCAAATGTGACGTGCAATGCCCTTCTCAGCTCGTGTGCGGTTGATTGGTTGCGTGGCTTGAGCCTGCTGGTGCCTTGTCTGGAGATACAAAAGCTCACAAGCAGAGGGCCATCAGATTCAGACCCTGCTCCTAAAGAGCATTGAAGCAAACGACCAGTTCTCCTCCCCCATCCCCATCTGTTGCCAAAATGCAAACCTTATCGAATCTTTGCTGTGCTGCGTTCGTCAGGAAGAGATGCATGGACGTTCCCTTCGCATGGACAGCGCCTCATTGTGCCTTATGGGGTCTCTACCCTGGGCTGGGGCGCACTCCGCGCTGCAGACGATGTCCCAATGGCAGGTGCCACCCGATGCGGCTGCTTGGGGAGCCGTGGCTTCAAGGTGCAGCGAAACAATGCAGTGGCAGATGGCTCTCAGCCTGGATTCCAATACGGCCATCAGCACATGCCAGAGGGCCGGCAGGTGGTGCCTGGATCTGAATTGAAGAGTGTGTGTTTTTGATCCCCTGTGAATTTCCTCTACAAATTGGGTCAACCCCTGCATTAGAAACGACCATTTTGTAGAGAAAGCATTGGTTTTCCATAGAATCACTGTCCTGGGTGTTTCTGAGTGATCAGTGTTATTTTTTGAGCATGTTAGCCAAAACAGGATTTGCAAGGCAGGGTCAATTTATAGAAGCGACACGTTTTTGTATATTTTTCCCTTGACTCTTGACTCGAGCATGTGCACCCACGCACCTTAATTTTGAAACGGGTTAGACCCCATTTTGTAGAGATGGTTGCCTAAGCATCTTTCTTGGAGGGGTTGATTTTATAGAGAGTGACCACTCAGGCCAACCCCCAACCCAATATTATAGACTTAAGGTTTCTATCAGATGGATTGGTTGGTTTGGACCTGGGGTGAGGCATTTGTAGATACAAAATGCACCCCCCAGGGGTTGTCGTGTGCATTTTGCAGGAGATTGTTTTTGTGTGGTTGTGGTAGTTGCATCTAGGCAAAAACAAATTGAAGTCCAAGCTTCTCCAATAGACTGCTTTGTTGTTCTTGGATTGATGACATCATTGTGACTTGAAATGTCAAGCAATTCCAGAAGAACGACCGGGTTCTTGATGATTCTGAAGATGCCTCAGCTTGATAACTTTCACTGAACCCGGTGCACATTCCCATGCCCTTTGCATCTCCGATCGAAGGTCGGAGACGGTGTGCATGACCTCAGAGATGCGATTGAAGAGCCAGCAATTGGACTTGGTTTCCCTGAGTGGTGCTGCCAGTGCTATGGAGCATCTTGCCTATGAACGGATATGCAACGCACTAGAAGGGCAGTGTGAGAGTATGCATGTTTTGTAAAGACATCACACGGGCAGATCCCCGGTGAAGCATACAGTCATATGAGAAAATGGTTGCAACTATGTGAGTGTGAATTTCCATTAGTAGGCTAGTCTCATTATGTCTAATTTGTTCTTGACAATTCTTTGGAACATCTCGTTTATTTCTTTCAGTGATCTCAGGAAAGCTTACCAGTGGCAGCAGGGCCTTGGCCTCCTGGAGTTCCTGAGGGCTCATCATGTTCCCCTGCATTTCTGGAGTTTCAGCCTCTTGAGCGCCTGTGAGAAGTCTGCACGCTGGCGCGAAACCTTGGCACTGGCCACGTTCCAGGAGCGCGCGGAGCGGACGCCGGTTTCCGCCGGTGACGTGGGCTATGCAGAGAATGCGCAGATCAGTGCGTGTGAGAAGGCCCACCTTTGGGTTCAGGCTGGTTTCCACCGACGGCGAAGTGTGGGTAGATTTGTTCAATCCGACATCTCCAAATTGGAGCAATCGATCATCAACAGCTGAGTTTACAACAGCCACATAGAGCAACTGCTTTCTATGTCTTCATGATTTTGTGCTTTCCCTTTCCACTGCTTGGACCCTTTTTCACTGATCCGCACCTCCCAAGGCCTTGCAGCTGCTTGGCTCGACCACATCCCCGGACGTCATCAGCTTCAGTGCTGCCCTGAGCTCCTGTGAGAAGGCTGGTCGATGGCAGGAAGCTGAGCTGCTGTTCGTGGCACTGAGCGGCCAGGCTGAGGATTTCGCATGTCGTCCGCGAGCTCGTCCGCGTGTCGGATCCAATTCTTGCCATTGCATGTCAAATCAACATCATTTCTTTCATCCACAGCTGTTCGGCTTGGATGAAAGATGTGAAAAGCTGATCTTCCATACCAAGAAGAAAGAGTCGCAACGTGCTTCCGTTTGTTTTCCGAGTCGTGGAGGTGCTTCCCAACTTGATCACATTCAATGCAGCCATCAGTGCTTGTGAGAAGGGAGAGGCGTTGAGAGCAACCAGGCAGAGCAGAAGATCCTTGAGATGACAGACGTTTCTCTTAGTCTTCGTAGCTGATCTGATATGGTGACTTTGAAAAGTCTTTTGTCATGGTACATGTAGGGCATTTCATATGTCTGAATCTCTTTGCTTTGAAGGCTTTGGAGGTAGTTCAGTGGATCTGGTGCAGAACATGAACCAGCAGGCCTGCTTTGAGTGTCAAGATTCGCCCTGGAGGCTGATGCTTCGTAGGTTTCGTTGCTGATGTGCCAGGCATACCCAACCAATGACCAAGGCTTCCCCCTTCTTTGGTTTCCTTCAGGCCGAGGCCACCAAGAGATTGCTCCTCCAGCTGAGTCTTTGATTTCGATGTCAAATCCTCATGCTCGTCATCACCATCAGGTGCACATGACATAGTTTGAAGTTGAGTCTTCGTGGAATGAAGCCACTTTCGAGTCGATTTCGAGACTCGACACCCAGCCCGTGCCGTCCGTGAATTTCGCACTGACAAGGTGCTACACTCCGCACCGTTGACCTTCCCGACGTGCAAGCAGAATGTGTGGAGACAGTTGAGATGGCTATGATAGAAGAGCGAGCCTGCAGCAGGCCTCTTCGTGTGCCTCAAGGACACGCAAAACATTTGGTGACCTTGGTGTTCCTTACAGTATTACAGACTTTTGAGCAGACTCATGGAATAGATTACTGTAGATCATCCAAAATGTAATAGGGGTTGGTTGGTTGACCTGGTGAGCAGGCCACGGGGGCGGTCTGGACACAGCAGGCTGAGTCTAGCGCCTAATTTGCCCATGAAAAACCTCGCAGCGTCAGGAAACAGATCGCAGTGCCTCTACCTGGCATGGGAGTGTCAACTCACTGTTCAAAAGCACGGACCTTTGTGAAGCAGCGGGTCAGGGGCGAAAAATGGCCGCCAGGCAGATTCTGTGGACACCTTGCTACTTTTTTCTTTGTTTGCCCAAAATGGGCACCGCCCTTGGTGTTGTGAAGGCTTCGTTTCGTCTGAGCTCAAGCAGGAACGAAGCAGCAAACTCATTGCCGCCAAGATGTCCTCTTCGCCCCTGATTCAAAGGATGATGTACTGATGTTTAAGGCACTCGGCCTGGTTGAGGCTGCTGTTTGCCCGCAGAGATTGAGCATGTGACCGACACTCAGCACCTTACACACTTGCGTTCTGACCCGTTTTATAAATTCTGACTCTATATTTCCTGATTTTCTTGGCCACAGCTTGTTGAGATTCACACAGGGAGATGGCACCATGATGCAGAACATTTTTTTTGGACATTTTGTAAGTAACTTTATAACTATGACTATGACATCCTCAGGTCTCATATCCTCCACACTCCAAACGCCTTCCGTTATGCACCTGATCATACGTCGTCACACGTCGCCCCTTCGCCATGCCGCCGGCGTCCAGCTGCGTCACTTGGGATCGTCCACTGCAGCCAGGGCTCCTGCAACAGCTGCGGGAGATGCAACCGAGCTCCGTGCCGCGCTTGGTGGGGCAGCCGCTGTCTGCGGACGAGTACCTGTTGTCGGCCATGGCGCTACGACAGGCGCACCAGTTGGAGGGTCTGAATTCATGTTGATCCTCAGTTCGCAAACGGCAACCCACCGAAGTCCACCATGGAGGACACCTCCAGCCAAAACGCACACCACGGAGGGTAACTTGCTCCGAGCAGGAAAACAATTTCCATCACAATCTGCTGCACTCCAAACTATCCCACCATATATCCCACCTTTGGATTCTTGCTTTCGCGCGGCCGCCTTGTTTTTCAACGATCTTTCGTCCGCCAAGATTCGTTCGCCACGTGGATCGAATTGGTGGGAGTGTTGAGGATGCCCAATCCCATGCTGATGCGGACAACTACCTGACCTTTGGCGAAGAGGCAGGCTGGGATGCAGATGACATGTTGGCATCCAACTTGGCTGGGCAAAGACCTGGATTGGGCGAATGCCCCTAGGCTCTTTGCATTCAATCATTTTTCAATCTTTCTTACGTTGTTGGCATCAACCTGCTGTTGAAGCAGCCGCCGTCCGACTTTGGGTTCTCAGATGTGATGAACTGAGGGGTGAACCGGTGCTGTGATACCCCTCCTCGCCCTCCGAGGCCTGGTGGGTACCTGTGGCTTTATGGGCACTGGTGCCGCGAAGTACGCCCAGCGCCTCAGGGCCGTGGAGCTGAACTGCACCTTCCATGATCAGGGCAACGGCTGCTACGAGAAGCAGGCTTCCCTCTCAGAGGGGGTTTGGATGGATTTGGACCAAGCCCACAGAGTACCCCCCCTCCCCGTAGTTGATGTCCAATTGGGCCCTGAAATCAGATTGGGTTGGCGATGGAATTCAACAGATTAGAGGTCCTTATAACATGTGCACCACTTCGATGAGACCTCACCGTCGGGCTTCCGTTTGGGCTTCCGATTCGCCAGGCGGCCAGCTATGCCAAGCTGGGCTTGCGGGTGGTGGTGAAGGTTTCTGGCTATGCCACGCATTCGGTAGCCCTGGGCGATCCGACTCAATGGTGGCCATGGCTTCATGCGAAGTACGCACCCTTTGTGACTGAGCTGGTTGGGAGGGCTGACCTCATGGGGCATTCTTTTTTGGTGTGTGTACCCCTTGGAATCACAGGGATCCCGTTGGATTGGTTGGTTAATCTTCTTAGCTTTTGAAGCAGGGGGACGGGTCACCGCTGATGCTGCCCGTCCAACGAAGAGGGTATCAGTTGGTGCTGATGCAGTGGGGGACGCTGCACTGTGTACCTGCTTGGAGAAGAACCTACGTAAGTGCAAAGCTGTCTCATTCTTTGTTTTGCAGTAAGCGGCTAGTGCAGTAAGCGTCTCATGCATCGGCGATTCGACTTCACGAGTTGTTTTTGGAGGTCTTGGAGGTTTCTTGGAAGGTACCGGTTTCAACTTACCTGACCTCCTTTAGGGTTTTCACTTCGGCTGGCGTGTGGCAGCCGCAATCAAGTCCATACGCATTTCCATAAGTGTGTGTGGAACCCCAAGAGTCGTTAAGGTGGCAGGGGGGCCAGGCATCTTGCTGCTGGAGTTGGCCGCTCCACCATACCTGCCACCCGTTTCATTCAGACCTGTGTTTTGAGTTTGTGTCTTGTAAAATGGTAGTGCTGGCCTCCAACCTGGTGCGATGGCCTCCAAACGTGCTAGCGATGACCTCCGATCTTGCTTGTTGCTTGGTGCCATTTTTGAGTTCGTGTGCATACCACCAACCTACTAGCGATGGCCTCCAACGTACTAGCGATGTTCAGGCTGCACGGAGGCGTCCACAGCGACCGGAGTAGGCTTGTGCCATAGTTTCGCCAAGACTTGACGTATTATTGCAAACGAGTCGGCAGCCTCTGTGCAGCCAGAACGTGTCCATGCGGACTCAAGTCGCCCCGCCAGAGCGGTCAGAGATCTTTTGGCCCATTGGGGCGTGTTGGAGCCTTGGTTCCCTTTCCAGGTGCACCCCTCCACATGGTGTGTCCCTGGACGCTTGTTTCGTAGCTGGGAGCGCCTGTCCCCATGTCCCCATCTTCCCTTCCTTTCCCTTTTCTTTTCTCTTTCTTTTCTTCTTTTTTCTTTCTCTCTCTCTCTCTCTTCCCCTTTTTTTCTTCCCTCTCCTTTCTTTCCTTCTCGGGTGTCCCTGGATGCTTCGGTCATAGCTGGGAACCCCTTTTTTCCAGTCTGGTGTGTCCTTAGGCGCTTGTGTCGTAGCTGGGAACACCATCGTTTCTTTCTTACTTTTTAATCTTTTCACTTTCTTCTTTCCCTTCCCCTCCTTCGTGCACAGCGTGTTTTACAAACAAACTAGGCGTCTACAACAGGTGACTCAAAAGGTTCGGCCATTCATCGGTTTGTCGCCTCTCATTGAGTTCCCTCTTCATTGGCGCCCGCAGGCTCTTTCCCTTTTTATGCCCTATCTGTCTTCATGTCCTGTCATCCTCACCCTTTTCTTCTCTTGCGTGCACTTCTGCCCGGACCTTAGCTTGTGCACATGCGCGTGTGTTTTTTGCACTTAACTAGGTTCAGGTGCGGGGGTGCCTCCTTTCCGGGCAGGACGGATCCCACCCATGCCTCTTTTGTGTGTGTGTCAAGCCCTGTTTCTAAGGGTCCACCGGTTCTCTCGCAGGGGCGTGTGACACTCTTCTCCTATCACACGCAACGAAGCTGTGGAGAAGAGTGGGAAGGGAAACTTGGCCAGTTTCCTGTACCTGCGACGCAACTTTTGGACAAGCTGTCACCCTACTTTTCCACGATTTGGTTCATGGTCCTTTCACGATACTTTCCCCACAACCAGGTTTCCCAGCCGCTTGTGCAGCAGAGCGAGTGCAACAATGTTTAACATTTCAAGTCATCGGACCCGTTCACCTTGCCGTTCCATCACCTTCCTTCTCATCGTGGGAATTGAGTTAACAGCAAACCAATGTCAGAGTGTGAGCCGCTCAGCCGTCCCACTTGGGTGCTGGGTGTGATCCCCTTCACTGGGGCGCTGAATTCATGCTGGAAATCATTGTCTCCATTTTTATAACTGATTCCACTTTCCCCACTTCTATAACTGAATTAACTGTTTCTCGAGCCGCCGGGTTATAAACGACGGAATACCATCACCTTGCTTCACTTGCACCACCACGGAATACGGCTAAGTATTCACATGTCCTTGACATGCTGCTAAGTATTCACCTGTCCATGTCATGCTGCTAAGTATTCACAGGCCGGACGAATTTTTTCAGTCGCGCAGCTTCTTTTACGGCTAAGTATTCACATGTCATGCTGCTAAGTATTCACAGGCCGGACGAATTGATCGTGCAGCTTCTTTTCCCCCCTCCCTGCCCTGGGCCTCCTTTGCTATCCCACCCGCTACTCGAGCAACAGAAGCAAATCGCACTCAACACACTTGTGTGTTGGTGCCTTTCCTTCTGTTTCTCCTAGCATATTGCTAGCTACCCGGGCGGTTTAAGACAAATGTCCCGCTCGCGAACTCCTTTCATTTAACTAAGTGGGCCTCGTAACTACCCCTATCTTTCTTTCTTGCCCTCTTTGTCTGCTTTTGTTTTGTTTGCTTTGTCTGTCTTTCTAAGGCTTTTTAGGTGGCTAATCACCAAAGCTAGCATCAGCTAGCTGGAGTTGCTCTTGCTTTAGCAAGTCAAGGGCTCGCAGCCTCGAGAATCATGAATCACGTGAAAACTTCACGTGTAGGCCCCCCCCCCCCCGCGGGTTCAACTCCCCCCTGGGACGCTTCCGGTACGTGCTATAGTGCTATGTTTAGGTGGCAGGTGAAGTAGGCCACTGTTTGAGTTTGGAAGGGGGGGCATGAAACATGAAATTTACGCGAGGGTTCAAGGCTTCAATGATGAGCATCACGGGAAGTCAGAAACCAGGCGTATCAGATACACGTGCCTTTGAGCTTCCTTCGGCATCTCAGTGCATATGGCTGACACTTCACTCGACAAAGATGCTCAAACAAACACACATAAACCAGGTGTATCTGATACGCCTGGTTTGTGACTTCCCGTGATGCTCATGATGCTGCGTTGCTTTTCTTCAGTCCCTCATTACATATACATGACGATGCAACAGCAGATTCAACAAGCTCACATGTTCATGACATCGACATCGATAGCAGAAACCAAACAAATCATGCAAGCAGCTTTGTTTTGCCTCTGGGACACCTTTTGGGCACCTCTTATGGCATCCACACTGGTTCAACTCCTCCGTGGAGGTTTTGGGATACGGTGCAACAGATTCAACAAGCTCACAGGTTCGTGAACACATCGGATGCATCGAACAGTGTGGCAAAGTCCAGCCACGCTTCCTTAATTATCGGGGCCTTCAATTCTAAGGTTGGCTGTGTCATTGCTGTTTGTGTGTCTTACATGTTCACAACGTTTTACCTCATGAGCATTTGCCTCACTCCGCTTGATGTCCCACCAGTCCGGATGCACCCCTGCTAGCTTTCGTCACCTACCCTCGGCCTCAAGTAGTTTTTCGCAGCGCCAATATTGGCGCTTTCTGTACAAAAGTTCCCCGGGAAGGTCAGGACGCTACTAGAGGCCCCTGGCCTCGCTACTACTCTGTAAGCAAGGGAGAACGCGCCGAATACGGCTTTGTGTGTGTGTCAAGCCCTGTTTCTAAGGGTCCACCGGTTCTCTCGCAGGGGCGTGTGACACTCTTCTCCTATCACACGCAACGAAGCTGTGGAGAAGAGTGGGAAGGGAAACTTGGCCAGTTTCCTGTACCTGCGACGCAACTTCTGGACAAGCTGTCACCCTACTTTTCCACGATTTGGTTCATGGTCCTTTCACGATACTTTCCCCACAACCAGGTTTCCCAGCCGCTTGTGCAGCAGAGCGAGTGCAACAATGTTTAACATTTCAAGTCATCGGACCCGTTCACCTTGCCGTTCCATCACCTTCCTTCTCATCGTGGGAATTGAGTTAACAGCAAACGAGATTATTGCATACAGAATGGAAAGCCACTTGCCACACGGTGGCCTAGGCAACCATATTCCTTGAGAAGTCATGTAAGGGGTCCAAGCATCGCTAGCACATTCCCCCAAGTTTGGAGGCCATCGCTAGTAGGGTGGTGGCATGCACACGAACTCAAAACTGCACCAAGCAACAAGGTTGGAGGTCATCGGTAGTACGTTGGAGGCCATCGCACCAGGCTGGAGGCCAGCTCAAAGCACAAGTCTGAATGAAACGGGTGGCAAGGGGTGGCAGGTACACTGGAGTGGCCAACTCCACCATCCCATCTTCCTGCCTAGCTTGTTAGACCAGGTCAGCAGCAAAATGACTGGTCCCCTTGCCATCTTAACGACCGTAAGGCCTCCTGTGACTCCAAGGGTTCCACACACACTCTGACATTGGAGCAAGGTGGGATTCACGCAGTGATTCCCTGCCTTTGTCTGTGTGTCAGCGCTGGGTAACAGCCTGCCGTTTAGGTGTAGAGGTGTAGTGTTTGGATTAGCTTTTGGGCAACTCACCTCCTTTTGCCTGCCAAACGTGCCCAGGTGAATGAAGGCATCTTGGTGGGACTGCTCTGGCAACTTCCACCCTCCTTCAACTGCACGGAGGAGCACTTGCGGCGCCTAGAAATTTTGGGCCAGCTCTTGCGAAGCCGTTCCCAACGCACCGCCTGGCTCGAACTGCGACATGTTTTCGAGTTCCGGCACAGCTCGTGGTTCAAGAGCTCGGCTTTGAGGGAAATCATGCGAAGGCATAGCCTAAGTTTGGTGAGCCTGCATGTGATGAACGACACTGGATGGGCAGGTGACCTCAACTCCGGATGGCATGCATTGCCAGATGAAACTGATGAGGGAGACTTTGTGTACCTGCGATGCTTTGGCGCTAGGAGTCGCAGCATCGGTCTCTACGACATGAGCTTTTTGAAGGAGGCGATGGCAGTTGCGAAGAGAGCAACTTCAGCGGTGATTATGTTTGGCCAAGGGGATGCACCTCAACAGGCCTTGAGCAACGCTTGGGAGTTGCAGGACCTTTGCTGCTTGTCTCAGGGCTCGTTGAGCTCGTTACCTCTCCGAAGTGGAGGTTCTGAAGTGGGGAAGCGCGTGCGTGGTGTGGTGCTCCGCCGCGGGAGGGATGGATTGATCCTGGTGGACGTCGAGGGCGGCCCTCAGGGCTGTCGTACCGGGTATTTGGGGTCCAGACACTCGCGGCGGCGAGGGCTGGGGCTACGTGCTGGCACGGTGCTGACGAATTTACAGGTGGAGTCGGAGGAGAAGGGCCACTTGGTGTTGAGCGTGTGTGAGGCTGACACGGCGGTAAGCTGAAAAGCTCGCAATGGGGAGCGGTGGAGATGTGGGGTGATGAGAAGGGGGATGCTGTAAGCTACGAGCTGAGCCACGATCCAAGTAGGCAGATCCCAACTTCCAAATCACGGAAAACTGTCTCCTGACTTCTGATATTGGTAATGGTAAGCCCGTTTTATCCTTGTGCTGTTGCAGCCACGAGCCTGCTGTGGTATATATAGAATCTTGTGATGTGAGGTAGTGATCCAAATTGCATTTGCCCTTGCCATATTCATGCTCGAATCCATTCACCACCGCCACTGCTTCCATTCATGGGACAAGTAGAAGTGCAAACGACATGGGTCAACGGAATTGTGTGGAACTCCAAATCGGTAGAGTGGCCACTCGAAAACCCAAAGCACTTGTTGTCCTTCTTGGTGGCCCCTTCGACAAAAAAAAGCTTTGGATCTTGCTTGTGAGGGCGATCTCCATGTTGTGCAGTGCTTCCTTTTTGCCGATGTCAGACGAAGTTGTGTGACACATGTATTTGGGACAGGCTCAGGTGTTTTGCATGTTTTTGGAAAATGCGGCTTCAGCAGTGGGTGGTCCAACTCGCTCTCCAAAACAGCATGGTGCCACGGACGGTGTTAGTTACTGCAGCCTGTCCCTTTGTGACTGCGCCCAGATGCGGAGACATGGCGCCTGTGCAAAGAGTTGGTCAGACCGGGCGCTGCCTTTTGCCCATGCTGCCAAGTGCACTTGATGCCCTTGCGTCCAATGAAACATCGTTGACGCCACTCGCAGCCCTAAGCATCCAGCATGGAAAATGCTATGTCTATGTGTTTGTCTATATGTAAGTTAGACTTTCAACTGCACGCACCCATGACACTATGTGAATCATGAGGCGACAGACGAACCTGCAACCTGCAGGACACTGTGATGCAGGGGAAGTCGCAAGAACTCTCAGATCTTTGCTTACACTGTCCCCGTTCTTCTGGAAGGTTTCCCCGATGGACGGCTTCTTTGCGATGGCGTATCTACTTGTGAAGATCTTGGAGATCCCTTCTTCCGCCTGCCAGTGGAATTCAGGAACTCTTCGGACTACTTGGATTGCCGGTGCCTGTGAAAAATCATGAAACAAGTGCCTTTTTACATTGTTTTTAGCTAAGCAGTAGAAAAAGTATGCGAACTCCGTGCAACTGGGAGCTTTCAAAGTGTAAAGACTTGATCATTTCATCATGTCGCATTTGATTGAGGACGGGAGCGTGCAGAAGGTCAATGATTTCAGGAGCTGGAGCCATTTGTTGCAGTTTGGGCTCATGCCCTGACGCGACCTTATCGTTGCGCGCCGGAGACTGCCAAAATGACATTTGCTGTGGACTCAACAGTTGCTGGAACGCGAATTTCTCTTCCAATGGTCCTATTCGTAGTCTCAGCTGTGAAGGGGATGCTTGTAGGAGAGCAACAGCATCCTCTCTGATGGGGGATCTTTTTTGCAATACGACAACAGGGCCTGTGTGTCAAGATTTCGAAGGTGAGTTCCGGGACATTGTCCCCGCGCAACATTCTATCACCTGCACAGGCAGGGATGCTTGCAACAGGGCTTCCTTTACCTTTTCTGGAGTAGCCTGAGCAGATTAATTGTATATGTTTTAATTTACTTTTTGCTTGTGCCTCCTAATTGTTTCACAGAAACCGTTGTTCTAACTGGCTGTTTTTGTCCTGTCCCTTGGATCACCTAGGCTGGAGCAAACGTTTCCATCAAGTGCGACAGCGAAGATTCTAGCCGTTTTGGTGGTGCTTGTGCTGACACTGTAGTGGATGTAGTTGCGAGCAATGTATGTTTGGAAGTGCACCTTGGCTAGGCAACTGAAACTAGACCCAGCTTTCATTGTCATTGGTCAGTTGGATGGTGAGATTGATTCATTATTTTTGAGGATTTGCAGCGACAAGTTGCCGGATACGTGCGAGGGCATGAAGATCAACATCCACGACCCAACCAGCAAGTGCTTCTACCAAGGTCCAGCTGTATTTAATCCAATTCGACACTTTGCAGTACCAGCCCTTCCACCTGCTCAGTCACGCCGAAGGACATTTGTTGCTTTGGGGCTGATGGTGATGGCTTGAGTGTCGATTGCTCCACTTGCTGCACCACCGCTACCACAACAGTGGCGCCGATCACCACTACACTATGAAGAGCGGCGAGGGCAACGTAGTTTGGTGTAGTTTGTAGGACGGGCGTGTTGAACACGTTTGAAAAGGGCGCGGCTGTGAGTGATTCGTTTGTCCCGTTCTGGCTGTCGGTTGATGTTGCTTTAAAGTGTGACTTTGGGGGCAACCGCGGTGTTTCACTTCGATCAACTCCAGTGGCCAAATGCGCCAAGGGATTCACTCGGGTGGCTTGAAGCTGACACCATGGTGTACAAATCAATCCCACGGTGCGATGGGCGTGGGACCCGAATTTAGTGCCATCATTTTGGCGGATCCACCTGCACGCCCGCTCCATGTGGCAAAGCAGCAGTCGGCAGGGAATGGGTGGGAGGAGAGAACCGGGCTTTGACGTAGGTTCGATTCGAAGAGTGTCATGGAGCTCGTGGCGATCGTTCGAAGACATCCGGGCTTTGATGTCACCCTCAGGCTCTCAGACACTGCCCTTTCGCTCCGTTATCTCCTTTGTGGCTCAGCTGTAGGGGTCCTAGGGGTCGTGCGCAGACGCCGCAGAGGGCGGACGTGGAGGCCGTTTGATATCGTTTGATCAGCTTTGAACCACTGATGCAGCAGTGAATCCTTGAAGTTTTGTTGCACTGCACTCCCTGAATCCAGAGGAACATGGTGTCAGGGGCCATTTTCCACTTCCATGATTGCGGGAAATACGAAATTTGTCCTCAAAGACTCAAGGTGTCACGATGAGAGAGAGAGAGAGAGAGAGCATTCGTGGACCCTGAAGGATGCTTAATCTCAAGCGGGGCAGGATGTTCGCTTGGTGTCAGGCTTCATGGAGCCGCCCACAAAGCGATCGAGGCACGTGTCAAATAAGCAGGATTTTGGATGGTGAAGTCCATGAAAAATGCCTCCAGTTGGAGTGGGCGAGAAAGGTGTCCGAGGTCGCAAACTCAAACTGTTCAGGTGGGATGCTGGTGCGGACATCGCGCCACCTGAGATGTGCAGGGCTCATGAATGAAGACGAGCCAATATGAGCCTAACATGTGTGAAAAGACCTTGCTGAGATGGAATTTTTTCTTGAGTGTGTACCAAGTCGCATGGAACCTTGATGTCTTTTTGGTTCTGATGGAGTCAGCGATTCCCGTTCTTGATTGACTCCATGCGCTGCCCAGGGCCCAATCCTTCGATGCGCGCTCCCTGGGCAGCGTGGGCCTCTTTGATGGAGCACCACAGTCATTGGCGTCCAGCTCTGCAGCGGGCTACGCCGCGGGCTACGGAGGCTATGAGGGCTGCGGTGGCTACGGGGGTTTCGGAGGCTGTGATGGTAGCGGCTGCGGTGGCAGCTGCAGTGGCTGCGGCTGCGGTGGTGGCAGCAGCTGCAGTGGCTGCGGCTGCGATGGCTGCGGCTGCAGTGGTGGCAGCTGCGGTGGCTGCGGCTGGGATCCAAGCTGGCAGTGTCTCGGTGTGCTGAGGGATGTGGCAGATCTGCTATTTGGGGTATCCTGAGGTATCTTTGGCCGTCCAGTTGGGGCTCATGAGGTGGAGATTCCCAACAAGTCCTTGTTGTTGGGCATGGGTGTAGGGCAACTCACTAACCCACCCACTACAAAATCCATGTCTTTGTACAGTAGTGGTTTTTGGAGGCAATCCTGACGACCCCTCCCAGGTACTTCTTGATCTCTTAGTCAAAGTCAACTTGTTAGCCTCCACTATCATCCACTATCATTTTTGCTTCATGGCAACTTCGTGGCGTGGCAGCATGAAGTTTGTTCCCTCCTAGGCCTTCAGCAGCATCTGGAGCCATGCCAGCCATGGCGGCGGCCATGCCAGAAGTGAAGGACGGGGGTTCATCATACTTTCATCAAACCCAGGGAAGATTAGCTGATAAGTAGTGGTTGTTCTAGCAAAACTCCAAAAAGAGATGCAACTGCCTTCGATCCCAGCCCAGCAACTGCCTTTGTTGGCGCTGGCGGTGCAGGTGATCCAGATCCCAGCCAAACAGTGACGTGACAGCATTGATTTGGGGAAAGCTGGTGCGCAGGTGGCCAATGAAGCTTGAGCAAACGCTCGCGTGGCTTGCGTTCGAAGTGTTGGAACTGGCCTTACATAAAAAGGTGCCAAGGGCCCATCCGGGCAACAGACATGTGAAAAGTTTGCTGAGCTGCTGAAAACTCTGAAGGGTGAGCTCAAAAGAATACTTTTTTTTCTCCAACGGGATCTGTAATAGCTAGATTGGTTGGCTCTGGCAATAGCTCAAGAGCTTCGAAGCCTATCAGAACTAGGAGATCGCCCAGTTCAGAGTTACCGTGCCTTCTGATCTGGGCCACCTGGGATTGACGGTGAAGGTGTTTGGATGTGCAAGATCGACGCACGCTCTCAGGAAGGGCGGCTTGATCGGTGTGGGTGGTGAAGCCATCGCACGGATCAGGCAGGCCTCTGGAGCAAGCATCAAGATCGAGCCTCGGTTTGAACGGGCTTGAGCCAACTGGTTCCAAGCCCCAGGGTCAAGTCCGAGACATTCGCAGGTGAACCCACTGCCTTGGCAAAGATCAGCGGGAATGACGCTGAAAGATAGCAACTTTTTGAAGAGAAGGTCAACTATTTTTGTTTCAGGCATCGCTGCATGAGGCTACATTTGTCAGTTATTTAGGGCATTTGAGCCCTCCACAGGGCCTGCAAATCCCAACAGCCAAACCCCCGCCCAACATATCCCAGTGTCAAACTCTGAGCGGATTCACAAAGTCATGACTCATGGCATATCATTGCCGCTGGAGCTCAATGAAAGTTATTGAACTTTGACCTCGAAAGTGGTCCGAATTGACCGGTGATGCGTGTCAGAATACGTGTCCACAATTCTTCTGTACACGGGTTGCACCAAC